TTCTTGTAAGGGTTTTCCAGTCGCCTTGTACATATTATATCTGAAATGTGTGTAGAAAGCAGGCCGTCTCTTCTCAGAATATATTAAACAATAATTGTGGAAACAATGGGAGCGTGAAGCGAAATTAATGAAAGAATTGTCGAGAAACTTGAGTGAGAAGTGAACACAATTAGTCATTGCATTACGAAGATATTTATAACTATTTAATTTCTGTTTTACACTTCAAAGATTTATTTAATTCGTTCCGGTAGGCTTGAATTAAAAATACGTTTCGTTCCGCGCCACGCCTCACTTGTCACACTAAAACATTTTAGTTCTGCGCCTGTTTCTTGGCGCATTTTTTCATTTTCAGCGTCGTCGTGTCGCGATGTCGTCTTAAAGATATTAAGAGACAAACCGTGACAGACAGACGGAGCTATTCGTAATGTGCGTCGCAATTAATCAGCACAAGCGTTTTATTATCTGGGCATGGTGCGCGTGCGCAAGCTCTGTTCCGCCAAATACGTCGCGCCGACTGACAGCCGAGTGCCGGCGGACAACAAGATGGCGAACCTCTTTTTAGCAAGAACCGTTGTAATGGCGGCTGCGACTGCGCAGCGCTTTGATCGCGAGCTGCGCCTGATTCATTGCGAGATCTGTCCTACCTTGTTACTAATTATTTGGGCAGACAGACATACATTACGTGCTGCAGTAACATTCCAATAAGCTTACAATATAAGTAATTTCACGAAAGTGTTATCACAACACGCATAATTAAGTCATATCTTTATCTTCTTCGTGCAAAGAGCGTTCTTGCTATTTTCTCGTAGTTCTACATAAAATTTGCCTAATATGTCCTGAAATGCGTGTAATGAATCTATTTAAACCTGAGTTCTCACTTCGGGCAGTATGTTTTTTATGATATTGTAAAATGCAATAAAAAAATTATATAAATATTCTTTTTGTATAATCACATCAATTTATCTAGTTCCTTAACGACTAAATCGTTTTCAACGATGACGTCACAATAATTTGCATCGGTAGTGTAATTAAAACACAAAAACCGGAAGTTTCAGCGGGCTCCTTTGTTTTCATCTACAAATAGCCGGCGGTGAGGGTACGACACTACAACACTGAGAACATGGTGACCATCAATTACGGGAGGCAACCGTGGCGGCCGCAGACACAAAAATGTGTGATCGTACACAAACAACTAAAACACGCCGTACATGCGCGTACGCAAGTGCAGTCACATTTAAATACAGCATTAATATAACAGATACAGAATGAGTTTCAATCCAATATACTTTCTATCATTATTCTATAACCAAAAAGAAATACATGGTATGTTTAAATAATATTAAATTCAGTCATGCGTGAATTACTACGCACGTAGCCTGCTGCTACGAATGGCGTAGCGCGTAGCAGATGTTCGTCGTAAATAAAAACATCTTGTATCTTGTCCATTACTACCTAAATAAATATGAATAGTAAGTTTTCGGTCATGTTTGGTGACAGGCCTTCTCCGAGTTTCTGTCCTGCATTAAATTTACCGAAGTAAGAAGATTGTTTTATTCATTTCGTTGCAGGGTCCAGGACAGTTATCCATGGCCCAGGAACGGGCCGAACTACAGTGTTTTTATTGTTGTATCTACTGTAGATCCCGTTTTTACGGGATTTGCAGCGGTTTTGGGAGGTTGTGGCGGGCTTGTCCCAGACCAGATTCCATGATTGAAATCAATCGAGCTACTTTTATTATAATTTTGTAATGCTGCTTTTTTCAGTCTAAGTTTGAGAAAATTTGGTTTCGCACCTTAAACCCAAATAAAGTTTTTTTTTATTTAGAAAATGAAAATGATTTTGACGGAAAATAATACGATAATGAAGTTCGAATGTGATCAAAGCGAGCTGAATAAATATTTAATATAAATCAATTTGTATCCGATGCGAGATGCGCGCGAGTGTCCCGTGTAAGTGCGTCGACCATTTTTCATATCACGCGTGAACGCTCGGCCGAACGCGACGGATTTAGAGACGAAACCACTCGGAGCTGCGCTTGCGCAGCAGGGCTGTCACATCAACCGGTGCTTATTTTACGGCGCCATACTCTTACGGAAAAACAAATATTGACTGTTTACTTAATGAAAACTAACCTCGTTTACGATCGTTAATATTCAAATACATACATTCCCTTTTAACAATTTTGTACTTGGTTTTCCACGTAGCTGTAATATCAATTTAAATATAATCTCTCAGTGGTGTAACGAGGTAAATCATTAAGCACGCACTGAATAGATGTTTCCATACATTTTCAATCACATTAGTGTAATAGCTTATTGTGGTGTTTGATTGTATTCATTACTTTATTTACATATATTGCAATCGTTTGCGGAAAGCCCATTAAAGATAAATAACTTGGAAAATATTTAATATTACAAGTAGACCAAAGATAAGGCCAAACTTCCTTAATTAGACTTCTAATTAGTTTGTTCAAAGTGTCACCCCTGTACGGACATTTCAGCTAATTGCTTTTTTCATAATAGTTAGTGCGCCGGCGCAGGGAAGGATGCACGCGCCGCGGAGCGTGATGTACTCGCGATGTAAGGAAAGCAGAGGATCCGAGCGAGGGGAGAGCTGTTGGTAGCTGTTATAGCTGAGTACTCCGAGCACTGATTGATTTGTTGGTTGGTTACAGTCGGCCATCTAAACCTACACGATGCAGTGGTAATACGCCAGTATGACTTGTGAAATGTTTAATGTCAGTACATTAGCTGCTTTGAACACCGCGTCGTGTGCAAAAGGCTTAGTCACCTGAAAAACTGGTTTTATTATTGTGCCTACAAAAATTGGTAGATCTGTAACAGTGATATTAGGTATCTGTGCGTTGATAAATACTGTATTAGGCAATGTTGGGAAATAATGTTGCAATCAAATACATATTGCCAGTTTAGGTACATTTGGCACACAAACGAAATCAACAGTAGAAAAGTGTAGTTTTTAACATTTCGATAAAATAACTGAATTTTACCTTAATATAAATATCATGTTGCCATAAGCTTAAATTTCTTTTTTGAGAATAGATTCGCCTATTCCATGTACGCGGGTAATGTGTCCGTATTTATTGATGAGTAAATGAATCAGAAATCTCATTATATAAGCGGGATATCTTCCAACTGTAACCTGTAACCTAACATCAACTGTAAATCAAACTTTTCTTAAGTAGATATGCGGAGGATTCTTTACGATTCTATCCCATTTAAGGGTTAGGTATGGCAGGTCATATATCCTCAAATTACGAAAGTCAGTCAAACTACTTTCATGACATGAGAACGATATGTGAGGATGTACCTTATTCTGGATGTCTTCGAGTACGACGTTTGTGTAAAAAAACTTCCCCGTTCCTTCTCCTGTTGTATTTTTCTTCTATTGTGTCTCGCATTACCACAATTGAAATAGGTAGGTACTAGTTTTTCAGTGTAGACAGCTAAACGCGCAACTACTTACTTCATGATGTAGGCAAGATTACATTTTGCCCACATCGTAAGGCTGGGAATTAAATCATCCGAGTGCAACAAGATACAAAACATACAAAAAGTATTAGGTACCTACGAGTATATCCAGAAATCAAGTATTTTTATCAATACTTAGTGATAGGATATTGTAAACAATGCCTGTTTTGGGGGATTCCGCTACTCCATAACTTATCTAACGATCATTTCGATAGTTTTTAGTGTGTACAATTTATGGCTAGATATCAATTTTTAAATTAATAAAACTAAACTTCTATGTGTACTGTATGTGTGCATGTTTATTTGTAAGGTGTCATTTTATTTATTTTTACCTGCGGGGTCATTGAGGAAATCCTCACACATTTAGTTAGAACTACCCGAGGCAAGCGAGCGATCAAATTTATTATATTATAAAGTGCCTATATTATAAGTCGCCGAGTTATAACGTCAACCACGCGGTCATGTAGGATCTTCTCTTCTGTTGATCATTGAGTTTTTAACAAGATGATCGACGCAATGTTGTGGATGCGCTGGCTGTCACCGAGACAGATGAGACAGGCAAACGCATGAAATTAAATTCCCGCATGCGACACCTGCCACAGCAAGCTTCTTACATAATTATTATGTTGGTTTTCTGGAAGAATTACAACATTCTTTTATTGTATCTTATATGTTTCTGTTTTGTAGGTATTTCAATGCTATAAGTAGTGTGTATGGGGTAGGTCGGATAACGAGTCCTATTGTTAAAAAAACGGCGCTGACCATGGACACCCGCATCGAGGGAGGCGTTCCGAGTGCGTTGCCAACCTTTTGGAGATTAGGGATTTGGAGATTTTGGGAATGAGGAGGGATTGGGGGGTACTCCGGTAACCGGTCCTAACACTCGCACGGCGGAACACAACGCTGTGGTTGTTTCACGCCGGTTTTCTGTAAGGCCGTGGTATCATTTCGGTCGAGCCGAAGCATGGCTCTCCCACACACAATATTCAAAGAAACCTGGCCTTATCAGGTCATTTATGAGCAGCAAAAAGAGCTTTGCTGAAAGTACTGACACAGCAACCCCAGAGTTATTACCGAATTGGTCAAATGAGTTTCCATCGATGGCAATTCGCATTGACCGATCCCTCAAGAAGTCTACAAATTAGTGATAACAGTTTTTTGAACACTATTTATTTTACTTATTGTAAATTTCAGAATCGTTTACCGATCTGTAAATTCAAGAATTTACGTCTATAGTGACATCTATTGTCAAATAGCTTAACTGCAGATTAATACCAGCCTTATCCTTTTTGTAAATAAAAAGCCTATATAATTTATTTAATTGTTATATTTGCAAATTACTTATAAGTAAAAAATAAATGTTTTTTTTAAATTTAACAATATAAAATTGCAATATTTTAACATTAAGTTGTTATTACATTTCATTGATTTTTATTCTTTGCAATGAATTGACGTGAAACGAAACAAAACGTAATCATTCTAGTATCTGTGGCTTACTGCAAGCGACAAATTAAAAAAAGCTAGTGATAAATAATTATTGTGTTTTTCCATTATTTTTAATTAATATGGGTACAGAAGTAGCTGTGTCGTTTAGTACTTTGCGTGCTCAACTAGAAAATGAAAAGAGTAGTTTGTTTAAAATAGATGAAAATATTAAAAAAATTGTGCAAACTACCGTAAGATTCAATGATAGGTTAGTAATCACCTTGAATGTAATTTTAATAGATTTATGTTTATGTTAATATCTAATGTATAGTATTTTTTTTAGATTTAACTCTGCTGGCGACTATACTAGAGGAAACAATCGTACAGGAAGCAGAAATGCTTTTCCAGACGGAGGAAGTAATTCAAAAAACGATGAACAGTATAATAAGCGTAAACATGAGACCAAAACAGTGTTTAGCAGGTATGTGTGTCGAGTTTTGTGTCACTACCTTGCTTGTAGGCAGGCATAGTTACTGCGTACGTGCACTTTCAGTTACGTAATGTTTCAAGTAGTATACATATAAATCGTATTTGAAAATCACATCATCGAGATTTGTTTACAAGCTGCACTATAGCTATCGTTAATTGTAGTCTGGTTAAACTACCACATGAACTATGCTATACCGTAGCATGTGGCATATCCTTCCCTAATCCCTAACATAATTAAACATAATGTCAAGGAATCATTTGGTAATATTGATATTGCATTCCAATGTAATGGTTTGTCCTATACAAACTGTCAACAGTGAGTACCTAACATCAAAATTATAAAATGTAGTATAGTATTATAAATAACAGCAAAAAGTTATAAACAGATAATTAGCATGTACTGCTTCAAATTTTCCAGGTTATCCGCTCGGGTCCATGATAGTGATGGTGAGGATGAAGGCCCTGGCACTAAGAAGGCGCGTGTACCTTCAGCAGTATGTAGAGAGCTGCCCACTAGAGCCGATGTACTGCGAGCACAGGGTGATGATGAACAGGCAAGGACACGCAACAGACGCATATTTGGTTCACTCTTGGGAACACTACAGAAATTCAAACAGGAAGAAATAGTGCTGCAAACAAAGGTCAGAGTCTTAAGTTACACTTTTAAGCATTTTGCTGTCCACAGAAAAGAATAAAAGGCTATGTGGCAGTGAACATGTTAATTAAGTTACTTATTAAACTGTAGTCTGCTTATTTGCCAGGCTTTACGTCTTTTATTTGTGTTAATCTACAGTAATTAAATATCAACAGGAAGAAAAGAAAGCCCAAGTGGAACGTAAAATAGAAGAACAAGCCCGTCTAGAAAAAGAAAGAGAGCAGAAGGAAAGAAAGACACTATTTGCTGAAAGAGAACACAAAAAGGCTACTATTAAAGCCTTAGAAGCCAAAATGGCGCGAGTTCAAGAGTTTGAGAAGTGGGAAGCGTCGCAGAAAAGCTTAGCTAACTTCATACTGACAAAGACCAAACCACATATCTACTGGCTGCCTAAGAAAATGTCTGAAAAAGCCACTGAGAAATTAGATTCCAGTAGGAAGTACCATGAAAGTAAGTTCCTTTGTATACACACATTTAACTGCAGTGGCAGTATTCAGTGAGGATGATTATCTGTAATAGAAGTTAGTTGTAACAATTATTACTTATTCAGCTACTTCATTGGTGTGTTTAAGACAGTAACAAACTCATATTTGTTTACAATTTACAGCTAAATATGGTCCAATATATCGCAGTGAGTAATTAAAAAACGAAATAATTTGATTCCCTTCATTTATATAGTTTAAATTGAATGTAATTTTCTTACAGCACTTTTCAAAGAGATGGTACTTGGATGGATAAAATATAATTTTAGGTTTTCTTTATTTCTTAATAAATTGAGTCTTAAAGTATCCAGCAATGCACAGTAACATTGTATATCTGCTGACATTATCATTTGGTCTGTTTCTCTATTATCTCCAAAATGTGATGTGAAATAAGTTCCTCAATGTTTTCAACCTTTTGTATATTAAATTTGTCACCCATTGCAAATAGCTCATGAAAACATTCATGTTTTGTTGTGACTGAATGATTATATTTGCTTTACATGAATATATTTTTATAAACAATGATGATTTTAACATATAATTACCTGTCTTCCAGAGTGCATGGTAAAGAAACGTCAAGAGCTGCAAGAAGAACTTCAACGAATAGAGCACCGTTGTCTCAGAGCACGGGGTCCAGGTACCAAGGAGAATGACCCTGACCACCACGAAGGTGAGGAGCAGAAAGATGTAGAAATGGTAAATAAGGATGAGAAGAAGAAACGAGACAAGTTTGCAGCAGATGCTGATGAGAAAGAAGATAGTGATGGTGATGACAGACATGAAGAGGACTCCAAAGTGGAACAGCCAGAGCCTCCAGAACATATGGGTATGCATACATTTTGTAAAAAGCCAACAGCAACTGTGACTCTTACTATACACTCATAGAAAATAGTTTAACTAATTATTTATTTACATATTTTCTCATAAACATTGAATACCTCTTACAGATGTAGAGAATGGCAAAGAAGAAGCAATTAAAGCAGAAACGACAATAGAACAGAACACAAGTATGGAAGCTGAGCCAGTCAATGAAGCTAGCCAGATATCTATGGAGACCACACTCAATGATACACAAGCCTCTGTTGACACTGAGAACCATTCCTAACGGGGTTATCACCCCCACATCTGCACCGAGTTATTTAAGGTGTCACCAAGTTTGAGAACAGTGCCGCTTACCCTGTATTGCTGTGTGATGTATCTTTAGTGTGGGTGTGAAGAATACTTTAGTAACATTGAAATTGATAAAATGATGGCAAGTTCTACTATCATAACAATGATATAGGAATAAATTGGTACAACTTCATTAAATATTGTTCTGTAACTTGTTATATGTAAAAGCCTGGTAAATAATATAATACTGTTCCAATATTCATGAATATGAATTAAGTATCTGACGAAATGTGTGTGGTTTAAAAGTTATAGTAACTTAGTATGAATTTTTGTCACAAATCAAGTAAACCACACTGATAATTGAATAATGAAATTAAGAAAATATACATACATACCTATAACACCAAATTTAAAACCTGTGCCTGACAGTATGATGTTTACCCGTCCATGTTTTGCAATATAACTTTTCCTATAGCTATTTGGCTTGAGAAATACCAATGTATGTCAAGTCGGCATTTACTATGTCCAGAGGAGTTGCAATAGGTATTCATGATGCCTTGATTTTGTTCGCAACATTGTCACACCATGCGTAATAGAATTGATAGATTACTTGATGTCAAAGTGAAACCTAGGACTTTTATCATATTTACCTATGTATTTTTGAATACATAATGCTGTGTAAAGAGATAACAATATTTTACAGTTCCAATAGAATAGTTAGACATTGGATTATATGTATTGCTATTTATCAGAATGGCTGATATAATAATTTTATGCACTAAATACATGTTTCTAATAACAAAAATTTACAAATATTTATATACATAGTTCCCATTTTCTTTTGGATAGAGATAGAGATGTGTATTTTTCAGAACATGTACAAATCAAGCAAGCAAGCTCTTATAAAATTGGTTTCTACATAGTGTATATTTTTTTAGAATGACAAATAAATTCAGAAAGTGAGCGCAATGCCTTGTATGTATGTGCAATAATTAACTGAAATAGTAATTTATTATTTATAAATAAATGTGGCAAAGTTATAATTAAAGAGCTATATGCAAATGAATAACTCCAATGTCTAATAGTGTCTAAAACATAATAGGGATGAAATAAAACAAAGGTTTGTTAAAAAAGTTAATTATTATTATATAAACTTAATAATTTACAAAAACATCACAGTTTTATTTGCATTATATGAGGAAGCATGTGCTGTTATTTGGAATGAGAAAAACTTAGCAAACATTACTCTAAATAGAGATTAAACAATATTCAATAATATGAGTTTCAAGCTGTAGCTAACACTATAACATCAGTCAGAGATTTGAAGGTATAATATAATATTGTTTCCATTGGCCTGTTTGGGACCATTCAATATTAAAGGAGGTGGTCCTCCTTATTTTTATAGTATAGTAGATAATATTACATGATGTAAAGGTAAAAACTAAAGCAACCTCATTACCTTCCTGGCTCCGCTACATACAGAACTATGTTAAGACCTGCTAATCAAGTGTGAAGATCCTAGAAGCAATGTCGTCAAGCATCCAGTCCATGCCTTCCAGCAGGTTTTCTCCAGTCACGGCAGAACAGCGCACAATACGCCAGTGATGGGTTTTAATGCTGTCTAAGTCCAAAGCCTAAAATCACAGATTTTAAATTTGAATAAAGATACTTAAGTAAAATATAAAATGGTAACCTTTTGTCTAACTTTCTACATTTCTTATCCTTTATATTATTGGGAGCTTTAATTGTAGGGTTATCTGTCAGTTTAAAAATTAGTGTAATCCCTTTGTTTGTAATGTTTTTGCGATTCAAACTTGCTAGTTTCATCTTTGTGTAATAACTATGTATTGTGAGATAAAGTATTGAAAATAATGACTTATCTGAATTAAATTAAAAAAACTCTACTAGTTACAAGTCACAATGACTACAGGGATTCTTATTCATAAGAAGCATGCAAATTGCGGCGACTTGGCTCAGCTGACTGGCTGTGCAATGATGTCGCGACGCGCAAGTGATTTAGACGTTAACTTTAATAAGTAGATTTATTCTATTTCTATTGCTATTCTTTATTCATATAGTGATAGTCATATGCAATTTTCAAAGATAGCATAGACATGAGTGTTGATGAGTTATAATTAGTTTGCTTATGGAGGTACACCAGCTGTATTGTAGTGCCCAGGTTATTCAGCAATTTGTCAGGTAAAATACACCTTCATCTAAACACTCATTCTAATAATAGTCTACCATTAACAAATTTGCCAGCTGTTACCTCTCTGATTTCTTGTAAGGTAAGTGCACCAGGGAGATCAGACTTGTTAGCCAGTACAAGCAGTGTGGCTCCAGCCAGCCTCTCTTCACGTAGAAGGGAGTGCAATTCTCGCGCACAATCCCAGAGACGTCGCGCATCGGCACTGTCCACCACCCATGCCACACCATCTGTGCTTTCAAAGTAGTTCTTCCAATATGACCTAAAAAAGGAGTGGCATAAGTGACCTACCTACCGATAGTTTAAAATAAAAGTAACAAATGATACACTACCTGAATAGCTTCTAATTGAGTTGGTATGAAGTTTCTGAAGTACCTTCTCGAGAAAAGTTGGTATTAGGTAAGTGATACACTCTTCTCACATAATGAAACTACGAATATGTAAGAAAGTGATTGGAAAGGAGTAACCATGGAGTTTCTTGACTTTAAGATTGACCAACAGACTGACACTTTTTATCTAAATGCTTTATTTCACACTCAAAAGTGCCTGTAAGGGTCTAATTGAAATATGTAACCTTTCAATGAGTATTATAAAGAGCAAAGTAGGACGCTTTTAGAGATTTATTAATTAAATAGCTTACCTCAATGATTTTTGTCCTCCAACATCCCAAATGTTAAGTTTGTAACCACGGTGTTCAAGTGTCTTTATGTTGAAGCCTAGCGTTGGAGATATAGTGTCGATGGGCTCGCCGTTGAACCGCTTCAATATTGTAGTTTTGCCAGCATTATCTAAACCTCTGAATAGTAAACGTTAAGAAAATAAAATTATTTTAAAGTGGAATAGAGAGGTTATTAATAGTCCAGTTTAGTTTCGTTTGAAAAGGATACAACATGAGAATTCTCATTTCTTTCTCTTTCTGTCGTAATTTCTTCAATATCGTGAGGAAACCCATTGTTTCTAATTACTGGCTTCTTCAAAATATTTATTTATTTTACTTTAAAATAACTTCTGTTTGTTTGTGTCTTGGCGTCATGCGTCATCTGAAAATGAAATGATTAATGACATTAGTAGATTGTCAATACTTTTTTATAGAGCTTCAGACTGAGGGCTCAATTCTTAGGTCACAGCACGCCAGTGCTCCAATTTTTGTAAATTACTTACATCTAAGTTTAAAGAATTTACGTCAATTCTTTCAAAGTGGAAATATGAATAAACATCAATGAAAAATGTTTTATGACATCACACAAAATATCACCTTTCGTTTTCTTAGAAAAACTTCTATATTGTTTTTAATGAGTAATAAGAAATTTCAAAGTTATCCTTTTATCAGAATCTCATTAGAAATTCAAATTGAATTGTGTTATTTTGTCTGTAAAGACCATAGTGAAATCCCATAACATTCTTCAGGAAATCGAAATGGGAATCCATTAGTAACCATAGAGTAAAATATCCATCCATGGCCGATTTCGTCGCTGTCAAGTCTTTTATTTAATTTCTGTTTCTATTATGAAGCACCTTCAATGATTTTAAGTGGGTTTATAGTGTGGAAGTGATCGTGAGGCGGCGCGGTCTCGGTGATACTGCTCGTTGGCCGGCAGCACCATGTTCAGTGGCACGGTGCGAGTACGGGTTTGCGAGGCGACGGGTCTTAGGCCGACCGACTTTCAGAAACGGCATAACATGACCTTCGGAAAGCCAGGTGAGCCTCATCTAACGGCTCGGGTGTCTCCCCAATATGTCATTGCGTATGAATGTGTAAAGATTTTCGAAACAGGAGCATGATTTATTCGTAATTTTATATTTAAAGTAGGTGTAGCGTGTTTACCAAGATGGGTGTTGGTGTTAATATGTAAATACGGGGTATGGTTGCAGACGACCAGCCGATAGATCCGTACGTGTCGATAGATGCCGACGAGCACCATCTAGACCGTTCCAGCACTAAGCCCAAGACATTCGATCCTGTGTGGAATGAGACCTTTATTCACGAAGTCCATAATGTTGGCAGGTGTGTTATCACTCCATTGATTATTTGTTTGACATGTTATTCTTACTACACTGTGATTGTTTAACTGTGTCTAAAGCTCTGTATCCTAATGGAATATATATAAATGCTATGTCTGCTACTCATTGGTATGTCTATTATATTACAATAACATCTGACACCTGAATTAAAATTAAAATATCACTTTGGAGCACTAGGTCTCTTGTCATCCTTACCAAAATAATACCAATTGGAATGTGAAACTTCTGACAGTGACATCATGTTTATGACTCACATGGGAATCAACCCCAATATATCATGTATAAACTGTGTACTTTATGATATTATGGAGTTTGTGAAACAAATGTGTAATGCTTTAGTTTGGGGATAACGGTGTTCCACGATGCTGCCATACCTCCAGATGATTTTGTGGCCAATTGCACAATCCCTTTTGAAGACCTCATGCACAGAGACAAGGATGCCACAGACTTTTGGGTGAGTAGTACTGATGTTACTGCAGTGTTTTCATTGTTGCATTTGTTTGTTTGTTATTTATTCACTGGTTTAATGATAATTACTCTGAGTATGATTCAAAGTCTCCAACACTTTTTAATTTAATAATTTTCACAACTATCAAATTGAACTACCACTTTGATAAAAATTGGGCACAAGACTGATTACCAAGATCCTTAGATCAGTGTGTGTTTATCTAGTGTAATCCACAGATAAGATATAAGAAAATGTGTTTACCTCCTGAGTGTTATCAACAATTGACATAATATTTGTTTTATTTGATAAACTGAGTGAGTTTGGTGTGTGAGGCTAGCCAGACACTACACTGTGTATGTGAAGTCTAGTCTCAACTCATTTGTGTAGTGATGAATAACTTCAGGAGAAGGTTTTCATGTCCTGATCCTAAATATGTTCAGTTAGAGGAAGAGGTGTATTTTTGTGATCATTAGTGATGTCTATGTGTGTGTGAATCATATTGTTCATTCAGTTTTCCTGGTTTGTGATGGTTTCTGTGGTATTTATGTAACTGTGTGGGTACATTAAATGATTAGTATTGCTATTTTGGGATGTAATAACATTCACTGCATGGTTTTGTAAATATTTTCATATTCATTGTTTCTTGGTCTTTACAATATGAAGTATTCTGCTACGTTTTTATTTTCATAAAATAATTATAATAACTATAGATATATAACAGAATAGAACAACCTTAAGTTATTTGAATGAAAAGAAAACTATGATAGATAAACTTTTAGGTTTATAAACATATTCCGGATTAAAAGTAGTGTATGTGTTATTCCTCAGTCTGAGCCAAATACTATTCAGCTCAACAGTTTTGTGTTTAAGGGTAATAGACATCTATCCCTCTGATCTAGGGAGGGTTTATGGAAAATTTTAAGTATAATTTTCACACTAGATTCTTGATGTAAGAATTGATATAAGAAAGACATAAGTTAGTAATCACTATACTGCAAACTATAAAGGTCTACTAGATCTAGCTAGTCTCTAACTAGAAATGCGGCATCATCAATGTATGTAATATAATTTAAATAACTGGAAGTACTTGAAGTACAAAATACCTATTGTCCTTAACTGATACAGACATGTACACTAACAAAATATTACCTAGGTATTCAGTTTTAACAATTTTCCTGTTGAAACCTTTTCACAAGTGTGTGTGTATATGTATACTTTTGAGTATAGGTGTGTAACTAACTACAGTTGTGATGTCTGATGTTTCCAGGTGGATCTAGAACCTCAGGGGAAACTGCATTTGAAGATAGATCTGAAATGGAATTCTCAAGGTGAGTTACCATACATTATGTTATGTCGGATATTTGTTGAATACCACTAGTTTTGTTCAAGGTGGATATCTCTATTGGATAAGTGACTTGAAATGATATCAATAATTATTTATAAATTATATGCTGTCTTAATATAATATCTGTGTAAAATTTTCTTTACTATTCTTTTTTATACTTTGATTAGAAAACAATCATACATACATACGTATTACAAAATAACGAGTTAATTAGAAGCTTGGAAAAATTATAGCAAGTATCTGTTGTCTGGAGTTTTTTTTTTGCAAAATATAAAAACTTCCACATTTGGATTATCTCCTGTACGTAACAGGATGCATTCGTCATATCACGTCGTCAGTCTATAAATGCCCACTGCTGAGCAAAGGCATTTTCTCACACTGAGAAGGTTTGAGCATTAATCACCCAGCTTGTTCAAGGCGTATTGTATTGGCGATGTGTGCATCTGTCAATATAAAAATTCGCAACAAACAAATTTTATTTATCAAGAGTTGTTCCGTGCGGGAATCAAACTCATGACACTCGTCATTTAATGCAATGTGCCCTGGTAATCTTACCCTGTGCCTGTTCTCGTAAATCATTTTAACTTTTTGTTTTGCCCCTTGCTACATAGTCGCACTATCACTGCAGTTGGCATTCGTCTCAAGTCCTTACCAGGTCAATGTCAGTATTGTACCTGGCGGTTCTATATAAATAATATTAAATGATGAAATGTAACCTAAATTTTTGAAACAAAAAGTCTTTTATTTATCAAGCGTGTTTGATGCTAGCGCAATGATAAGTATTCGCGACTGTTTATTGTAGTAGGATTATACAGTTACACATCGTTGTCTGTAGTCTCTTATTTAAAAAATGTACAATTAAAATACGGAATGTTTGATCAGTGTGCAATCAAAATAGCGCAGGGCTAAAGTCGCTCAGACTAGACAATTTCTTAGTAACAATGTATTTGATCTTTGAATGCTTAAGGGTTTACGTTTATAGCATAGGTATCCATACATTCTTTCAAGTGCAAAATCATGAAATCTAACGAATTGATTATAATGAAATTTGAAACTTATGTGCATCACATTAAGGTCTACTATAAACCTAATTAACTTAGACAGAGATATTAAGTTTCCATTGATATGACATATTCGTGTGCAATTTTAAGTTTCCATACTAGCTTTCACTAGCTTATACACGTGTTAGTAAACAATACTACTCTGTCAAGAAAAAACCGGGAAAAAGTCAATAATACACAAAATGTTTGTTATTCACCTAAATTTATTTTATCACCTTCAAAGTATGCTCCTTCAGAAACGATACACTTACGCTAACGAATAATCCAATCATCGAAACTTTTTTTAAACGCTGTTTCCGAAATTGTGTTCAGTGCTCGCCGCGAATTCTCCTTTATGTCTTCTAACGATTGAAAACGGATGCCACGAAGGGGTAATTTGAGTGTGGGAAAAAGAAAGAAGTCGGCTGGAGCCATATCTGGTGAATATGGTGGCTGCTCGATGGTGTTTGTTGAGTGTTTGGACAAAAAATCGTTTACAATGATGGCCTTGTGCGAAGGCGCATTATCGTGATGCAAAATCCAAAATTTTCTTTCCACATTTCTGGCCTTTTTCGTCGAATTTGTTCTCTTAAACGCCGCATAACGCTCAAATAATATTCTTTATTTACCGTTTGACCTTCGGGCAAGAATTCTGAGTGCACAACACCGCGATAGTCAAAGAAAACAGTCAACATGACTTTGACTTTTGATCGACTTTGACGTGGTTTTTTCGGTTTTGGTTCAGTTGGAAGGCGCCATTCCGAAGCTTGTTGACTAGTTTGCATGTCAAACTCGTAAACCCACGTCTCGTCACCAGTAACAATGCGTTTCATGAATTTGGGTCGGTATTGACTCGTTCTAGCATGTCCTCAGCAACTTTCATGCGATTTAGTTTTTTAAGAAAATTCAGGTCTTTTGGGACTAGCCGAGCGGCAACACGTTTCATACCCAAATTATTTGTTAACGCATCCAGTGCCCCCGACGCGTATGTGCGTTTCCTTACGCTACTCTGTGTGCCCTCGACGCACCTGTGCGTAAGGAAACGCACATACGCGTCGGGGGCACTGGATGCGTTAAAATGGTACGGATCGACTCGTGAGATACAGAAAGTTCGGCGGCCATCTCTCTCAAACTTGAATGAGGATTTTCAGTCACTATTTCCTTCACTTTAGCGATGTTAACTTCAGTTGCAGACGTTGATGGCCTACCAGAACCAGGCAAATCTTCCATCACATCTCGACCGCTTTTGAACGCTTTGTACCACTCATAAGCACGTGTTTTTGATAAAGTCGATTCACCGTAAGCCTTCTGTAACATTTTGAGTGCCTCCGAACACGAAATTTCATTGGCGATGCAAAATTTAAGACAAACTCTTTGTTCAATGTTTTTGTCTATTATAAAAATTCGCAATACACACTAGATATTATAAAACTAAAAACAGCACTGTTTTTAATATAAATAACAGATGCAACTCAAATTCCGCGCCAAAATGGAAAACAGTTATGCCAATCTAACAACAACAAAAAAAATTAAAATTCGAATTTGGAACCATAAAAAAACATTCATTCCCGATACTTTGTTGACTGAATGTATTTCAAATATCCCTGCCTTGTAGTCGCCCTTAAGAACAGTAAAATACTTTGAAATTGTCGTGATTCTAAGTACATGACAAATAGTGCATATCTCCAGTTTTAAACGCACCTTAATTAAGAAGTAGCACGTAGTATTATCACAAGTATTTATGAGTGGTTCAGAATTATTGCAGTCAATTTGATTTATTTTTAAATTATGTAACGTTTAAATATATAAAAAAAGCCGTTGGTCCGAACTAGAATTTTCTCCTGTGACGTGGTTGGGTTTAGAAACATTGACATTTAGGTACATACACCAGACGCGGAACAATGATTTGTAGATCAAACAAAAAGTTTTGCTCAGCCAGTTGCCTTACCACTTCGCCAAGCGTGCAGTCTCGATATTGTGAGTTGAGACTCATCGGTTAAAATAAATAAAATATATTCAGTTTCGGGCGATCGCATAAAAAGCTCCATGTGCAACATTTAATCACATCTGCTGCACAAGTGCCTGTCTCATATTGGTACCGTAGTGTTCTCGTAGTGTAGGTATTATTTATTTATTGATACAGCATACATATAATTGTATCTTTTAACTATGTCTAAAATGACTACGGTCGCGATTTCGATTCCCGCACAGAGTAAAATGTCATAAAGTTTGGTCTGCTATCCGCTTTGCAATCTCTGAAGTTTTAATTTGTTGGTAACAACGAGAGACAAGAAGTAAATATCAGTCAGGGACTCTTTCATTTATGTGATGGTCTGGGAGCCGTGCATGAGACGAGCGGGTGCGTGTTACAGCGGGCGTGGAGGCGCCGCGCGGGGCGGGCGCGGGCGCGGGCGCCGCGGGCCGCGAGTTCAAGGAGGGCGCCGGCTTCGCGCGCCGTCGGGGGGCCATGCGGCGCCGCGTGCACCAGGTCAACGGACACAAGTTCATGGCCACCTTCCTGCGACAGCCCACCTTCTGCAGCCACTGTCGGGAGTTCATCTGGTGAGCATACCGCTAGCGAAATGCATCCTAATCGAGCGGCTTACAACTAAATAGCAAAAGAGATGATTCGGTGACGGATAATGATGGTATTATTTTTTTCCTCAGGGGTTTAGGGAAGCAAGGCTATCAATGTCAAGGTAAGCACCGACACCCCGCCAGTCCGGGCGCGGCGCGGGCGGACTGCCACTAACGGAGTGTTGTGTTGCAGTGTGCACGTGCGTGGTCCACAAGCGCTGCCACTCGTCCGTCGTGACCAAGTGCCCGGGCATGAAGGAAGAGGTAAGAGTAAGTACCCAACGTGAGTATAGCGTGCGGTAAGTAGTGGTGTGTCGGCCGGGGCTGACGGTAGTGTATGTGCAGCAGCAGAGCGCGGTGGGCGTGTCGGGCGGGCAGCGCTTCAACGTGAACGTGCCGCACCGGTTCGTGGTGCACTCATACAAGCGGTTCACATTCTGCGACCATTGCGGCTCGCTGCTCTACGGACTCATCAAGCAGGGCCTGCAGTGCGAAGGTCAGACCTTTACAATTCTCTGTCGCAATGGTTCACTTCCACAAACACTAGTGCTCACTTCGACTGATATACACGTTACAGTATGCTCCATGAACGTGCACAAGCGATGTCATAAGAACGTGGCGAACAACTGCGGCATCAACACCAAGATGATGGCGGAGATACTCAATGAGATGGGCATCTCTCCGGACAAGAACCCACGACCCCGCCCTTCCAAGGTACATTACACCACTACTTTTCTTTCGTTGAAGCAGCACTTTGAACTTCACTGGAAATCGCTCATCACTAACTTTCGTCGGTTAAAACTTACAACTGCATTGGTTTTGTAATTTATCTCTGAAGATGGGATTGGGTACTTGACTTCCAATTTCAATGCAATATAAAATAAGTCCACTTTCATCTATTGATAATATTATTTACTTAAAAGTCAATAATGACTACCCGTATAAAGTACGTGACTAGTTGTCAAGTGCCTAATCAGATTGGAGTATTCTTATTAAGGTGTTTATTCTTCAATGACAGATGGTTGGTCATACTAGTGGGGGGAAACTAGTGGCATTTTGCTTACGGATGTTGTTTTGGTGGCTTTCGGGGTTAAAACTTGGAGGTTCTCGACGAAAGATAGATCTGCGAAACATTTTGACAAAAGGGCAGATGTATCTTTTTAGAGGTTGGTTCAGGTGTCGTAGTGAGTAGGGTGTGTAGTAGTGTGCGCGGCAGTGACGTGTGTGTGTGTGCAGTACCTCAACGCGGCGCTGCTGGAGGGCGCGCCCGACCTCGCCTCCTCCGGGGACTCCGACAACAAGGACCCCGACAAACACGACGACAAAGGTAACGCTCGCATACCTTACATTGACGACGACCCCTAGTCTAGTCTTGACGGCGATCATCCATTTCGTGCGAAGATAGATCTAATATTACCTTAGATTAACTTAAAACGCTGTATTTTACAACAAGGCACTATAATTCCACATAAAGTAGCAAACTTTATTGCTAACTTTGTAGCTAACTCACGCCTTCTGTTGGTCATGTAGTTCTTAGTAATTACTACAGAAGTATTCATGACAGCCATGTATTTTATAAAGTTAGACATTTTTCGCCAAAACATAATATTTTGTCCTACGTAAATGAGTACAAATTCTCAAGCGACACAGAAAAGCTTGGAATTAGATCTACGAAGCTTGATTCTAGACGTACACAAGTGTTGCCTGCTAGTAATGTGTAGTGTATTGTCGCGTAGTGTTACAAAGTACAATGTGTTTGTAGCAGTAAGTTACTTCTGTGTGACGTCGTAGTTTGTGAGCGTATGTATGCGCTGTGCTTGCTACACCTACACGGCACAGCCGTTGGATCGTCCGTAATATTCTAAAATGTCAAACACAAGAATGCTCATACCTGGGCTTCTCGTTGAATAGTGATTGTAATAATTAAAGAGTAGTGTAGTGAGCACAAAGCATATTAAGTGCCTAATGCGAGTTTGCTTTACGTCACCGCAATCCACACGTTTATGACGTTCGGTGCTCCGATTGGCCAGCTCCAAGTTGACGGACCAATCAGAGGGCTGAACGCCGTAACGTTAAGATTGCGTTAACGTAAACGAGCGCAGTCAGCGCTCTACTGGAGCAGTAGTCCCGTGCCACGCTCCACGGCGCACCGCTTTGTGTGTTTATTACGTTTACCAGTACTACATATTTTATACTTTTATGTTATACACATGTATTTGTTTACCTTTTGTTATAATAAAGCTTTGGTTATTTTTTTGTTGTTTCAATTATGTTTGATTGAACAGCATGAAACGACCGGCAGGGTACTAGGCAGAGTGTAATGTTCCGTATGACGTAGGTGTAGACGCGCCGGCGTGGGGCTCGCACTGGGCGGAGCTGCAGGAGATATTCACGTGTTACGACACCGAGCCTGAAGGTGCCGTGTCTTGTTGTTCGTGCGTGGCCTGGCGCATGCCTCGCTTTGTGTTGCTTCTACTGCCGGGCTCGGAATATTTCTTAATGTTTCACGTGGAGGAAATAATAAGACTATTGGAGTGCCAGACTCTGCCTGACACGGACGCTTGTATCGTAATTAATTTCTCGATCCGGGGCTTAGACAATTGTACCGTATGGTTGGAGCAGTACAGCGCCAGTAGTGGGGGCGGCGCGGTGGGGCTCTAACGCTGTGCTGGCGTAGTTTGCAGACTAACTGGGATCGTACTGTACAAGATAATATAAGTATTTATTTGTTTTAATATCTATGTAGCTGAGCTGACCTTCTCTTCCTGGCTGTGCACACACTAAAATGTCTTTTGATGCGACTAGGTTACACGGTTTATGGTAAAAAACGCCCTTTTAATAACACGATAGAGGCAGTGGAGCGGCAGAGTTGCATGACTGGGGCTTACAATAATACTGGTAACATTTGGTGATAACACAATAAGAAATGATGGAATGGGGAATATTTGCGGAACTATCTTCCTAATATTGTTATTTTTTATTTAATAATGGTTCTGGATGTTTGACAATATTGTTCACTCGTGGTCTGCTTACTGATTCTATATTTACTATAAACGCTTGCACTACTGTCTTTTCAAGTTTCTGGCTGTGACAGGGACGGTGAGCGCTATGATGTATTGGCCACGACTGACGCGGACTGACGGCGTCAGGGCCGTCAGTCCGCGTCAGTGGCGGGCCGGGGCTCGCAATACTGAGTGCGCTGTGTGTACAGGGGAGGAGTGCGCGGGAGGGCAGGACAAGGTGTCGCTGGACGACTTCCACTTCATCAAGGTGCTGGGCAAGGGATCGTTCGGCAAGGTGATGCTGGCGGAGAAGAAGGGCACGGACGAGGTGTACGCCGTGAAGGTGCTGAAGAAGGACGCCATCATCCAGGACGACGACGTGGAGTGCACGCTGACGGAGCGGAGAGTGCTGGCCCTCGCGGCGCGGCACCCCTTCCTCACGGCGCTGCACTGCGCCTTCCAGACGCGCGAGCGCCTGTTCTTCGTCATGGAGTACGTGGACGGCGGGGACCTCATGTTCCAGATCCAGCGCGCGCGCAAGTTCGACGAGCCGCGCGCGCGCTTCTACGCCGCCGAGGTCACGCTCGCCCTCACCTTCCTGCACCAGCATGGCGTCATCTACCGCGACCTCAAGCTCGACAACATCCTGCTCGACAGCGACGGCCATTGCAAGCTGGCCGACTTCGGCATGTGCAAGGAGGGGATACTCGGTCAGTACTCACGTTGTCGCACTCTGCATCTACACGACTGTTGCCCCGTGATGTGAACAGCGCTTGGAGGGGGACCGCGGGGGCTGGCCGCCTGCCTCGGTGGCCGGCTCCGGCAGGGCTGCCCCATGACCCTGAGATTATGAGAGCTGAGGGCTTGTACTTCCACTTTGAGACGGTCGCTTTGCTACCGCGCAGTTACTGATAAGTTATGCTTAATTCACAGATGGAGCCACCACTACTACATTCTGCGGAACACCCGACTACATCGCACCGGAGGTCAGTACTCATATATTTCAGCCTTATTATATAGTATCACTTTAGCCTTGTACAAGGGTCAAACTGAAAGTTCTTAGAACTGGCCACTTATCATTAATATAATAAAAAAATAATTCTAAACTTTGAAAATAGAACTCTGCCAATATTACTGAGTATAATTATATTTCATTCATCTGTCATTTGTTTTACGATTTGGCGGCAAATTGAAAATTGACTGTGTCACGTCAACATGAATTTAACAAAATTTTCGTGCAATGATTTTTTATAACTTTCTATGCCATTTAAGTCAACAAGAAAGTTATGATAGACTACGATTGGCCTTTCACGATGAAGCCCCATCTCGTGCGACTGTTTACAATTGGTTTAATGAGTTAAAACGGTCGCACTAATCTCACTGATGATTTACGTGAGGGACGGCCTTCTACTGCGACGACTGAAGATAACATCTGTGTTGTGCGGCGTATGATAAAGACTGACAAAAGAGTTACCTATCAGCAGGTTCGGACAAGCTTAGGCATCGGTATGAGTCCAGTGCACAAAATCCCTCCACAAACATTTAGCGGTCAGGAACCTTTGCGATTCCAATATTTTGGAAAGATATAATAAAACTATAAACTGGCTAATGTAATCAGTTTTTGATTTTCTAAGAACTTTCAGTTTGGCCCTCGGAGCTGTCCAAAGAGAAATAGCACAGCGACTGTTTAAAGTTACCACTCACGAAAGATAACACTCGGTCAAGAAAGTATTTTGAAATTCGCAATACATACTAGATATGATATAACTAAAGCAGCACTGTATTTAATATAAATAACAGATGAAACATAAATTAATCTAGCAACAACAAAAAATTTGCAAGTAATCAATCCCGATACTGTTTTGACTGACATTAGTTGATTGACAAGAATACATATAGTTAATTTCATGAATAACTTAGCATTAGCAATGAAATAATAGGAATTATTTGGTGCAATCCTTCTGTGGTATAACAGAGTACTTGTTAAGTAGTTATGTGTGGTCTCAGATCCTGCAAGAGCTGGAGTACGGTCCATCAGTGGACTGGTGGGCGCTGGGAGTGTTGCTGTACGAGATGCTGGCGGGGCAGCCTCCCTTCGAGGCGGACAACGAGGACGACCTGTTCGAGTCCATCCTGCACGATGACGTGCTGTACCCCGTGTGGCTGTCCAAGGAGGCCGTGTCCATCCTCAAAGGGTTCATGACGAAGAACCCCGTCCGGCGCCTCGGCGTCTGCGGGGGCGCCGCCGGCATCCGGGCGCACGTCTTCTTCAAGGACATGGACTGGGACGCGCTCGCCCAGCGCCGCCTGCGGCCCCCCTTCCGCCCCAAGCTCGTGAGTATCGCCCTCCTGCACCTCCTGCGCCTCTGGCGAGTGCCACGCCCCCGCTCATGACTCGTCGTTTTGTTAAAGAAGAGCAAGCGCGAGGCGGCCAACTTCGACGCGGAGTTCACGAAGGAGGAGCCCGTCCTCACCCCCGTGCCGCACGACGTCGTCAGGGCCATCAACCAGGTAGGTCCCCGCGCCGCAGGGGCTTCAGTCCCGCGGTGCGCACAGGTCGCTGACGGAGCCCTATGTTCGCAGGAGGAGTTCCGCGGCTTCTCGTTCGTGAACAAGGACTTCAACCCGGCGCCCGCGGCCGACAAGCCGGCGCAGGCCTGAGGGGGGGCGCGGGGGGCGGAGGCCGAGCTGTCTCTAGTCACGCGACGTCGCCGGAGCGCACGCGCATCTTTATGTTACCGTAGTAGTAGCGCGCGACCACTGTTAGTATCGCCGTCGGACGAAGTATTATTTTTGTTACGTTTTATTATTTACTTTGTACGTATTTTGAATGTACGTTGTCTGTCTTTAGTGTATGTTAGTTTAGGTGCGCTCGAGTCTCTCACTGCGATATTTTTATATCACGTGGACGTTATTTCACTTAAATGACTTGACAGGATCTTTCGTCTTAATAGATAGAGTTTGAACGCCAAGCAATCGACCGATACAAGCCGAGCAAGTCTACATAGCGTCTGATATTTGTGCAATCACAATAGCAAGATGCAGCGTTGTCCCCAGACAGGCTGCCGTCTGATGTTATTCCTAAGATGAATACCTCAAGTATCAAGTACGCTTACGTGTGTCGGGCTCGAACTGTCTCGTACGCGGCGGGGCCCGTACTTGTGGGCGCCGTACAGCAGCTTTAAGTATCTCGTAGCATTTACAGACGTTGCCGTTTCGACTTGCCCACGGATATCTTATGATGTTTCTGTCCAGTTCCGGCGTGGCACTCTCCACGCTGACAACTATACAAAGCGTTGGTTCGGTGACTATATTTCCACGAAGTCCTATATTGATGATATAGAGCAATTATGAATTGTTGTAAATATTGAACAATACATACTATGCGGTACCCGCGGCGCCGCCCGCGGGTGGAAGCTGTAAACCCCATAAGCATTAGTAGAGTGTTGTTGTTGCGAGTACTTCGTGTCTGTGTGTGTGTGTGTGTACGTGTGTATATGTGGAGGTGTGTCAGTGTGCGTGCGCTGAAGACGGATGTAGGAGTGTCGCTGTAGTTGAAGTTGTTTTATTAAAGTTACGACGTACCTATTTATCGGTGCTTTGAATTTAAACTCGATGTTTTTGTATTGATTGGGTGTTGTGTTCGTACGGATTACCCCTCGTAGGCACTGGCGTTAAGAAATAACAGTCCAACATTTGGTTGAACCCCTCGCGCGTAATATTTATTTGAATGACAAGTCCGCGATATTCTGGCGCGTCTACGCTGTACAGGTGGAAATAAAATAAGGTTTAACTTGCAGAGTATATTTATTGTTAAAAAGAATATTTACATTTATATAGATTATACTTTATACCGTGGAGTCTAAGTGTCGTTATCTGACTTGTCAGAGTTCAGGTTTAACTCGCGTGAGAGACGTGTCCAGGGAGAAGTATCGCTTTCTTAGTTAGACGGAGGGCGGTCTCGCAACCAGTGGCGAGCGGGGCCCGGCCCGCGGTAGGCCGGCCCGGGCCCCGCGTGTCCTTCTAGTCCCGCGTCCCGCGTCCCGCGTCCCGCAATACTCAGCGTTAGCAGCCCGGCTACTGGCGCGCCGGCTAGTTGAGATTCTCTTTACATAATATTTTGTTACATTTTTTTACGAAATATTTTTATTATATTTTGATCGTACTTTAAGTACATATACGTTATTTTTATATTATTGTCTGTGTGTTATAATCAAAGTTTTGTTTACTTTGTTAATCAGGTAGATAATTATTTATTAATCAGTACATTGTAAGGGAAGTTTGGGCGGGCCGAGTGGCCGCCGTATTCTGAGTTAAGTATTATTTGGTTAGTAGTTAGTTAGGTCGTAATACCAAAGTTTAAGTTTCCACTAACATAAGCGCGAGCTCGCAGCGACGCGGCGCGACCCAGCGCCCGGCCGAGCGATAGCACAAACGTATTGCTTTACGTAGTCGGTACTGTATAATATTATATTAACTAATGTAATTACTATATTATTATATAAATCTCTGTACGTGTTCCCGTTATTATTGCTATTTATTAACTCTTGTGTTTATATGTCTATCTTTGGGTGCGTGTAGTGATTGCATCTCATTATCTACGCACTAAGGCTTAGTTTACTTTGTTAAGATGTCTTGATTTCGTGGCCATTTTGTTTGTAGTGCGGCGGGAAGCCAGGCACTGGCTACTGCCTGCCTGCAAGTACGTACGATGTCGAGTCGAGTCTCTGCCACAGTGGCCAGTGCAGGGCCGGCCCCGCACGTGGACGTCATACTAATATAAAGTAAATTAACTAGGCATAGAGTATGATAGTGGTACGTTACGCGCGCCGGCGGGTGTCGGCGCAGCTCGAGTTATCCATTTATTCGTAAATATTTCATAGTCGTGTGTTGTTCACATTGTGGGTTTACCTGTACTCGGGACCGGCTCCGGTTCGCGTCCGGCTCGCGGCCGGCTCCGGCCCGACGTCGGGATTCCGTTACTATAAGTATGTACGAGTACTACTCTATCTCCGGACGCACGTGTGTTCTCATTTCCGACCTTATTGTAACAAGAGTTAAGCGAAACGTTTTTGAAAATTATTTTTATTTTTTTGAGATTTTACACGATCACTTTATTTAATTGTGAGGTTCAGATGTATTATTGTTTGATGATGTTATAACTTTATTGATTATTACGTAATAGCTGATAATTAAACGTAGTACAATTTAAAGTGTAGTCGGAGCGTACTGCAGTCGCCGAGTGTAATGTACAAACATGAGACGGAGCACAAAGTAAAGCTATTTATATAGAGAGAGCACGCGCCACATAGTTGATGTCGTAGGCGGGGACCACCCTAGGAAGCGTCCTTGTCAATGTTCAATATTTACCGAAACGATTACCTCCTTAACTAAGTTTAATGAAAGAGTAACGCTTTATAACTGTCTGTCACCGACTGTGCCAAAGTATCCCATCGTGTAACAGGTGACCATAGTCTCGCCGGGCGACGCCCGCGTCCGGTATAAATAGCTTGCACGGCTTGTGCTGCGCTGTCCGCCGTACGCTGTGCGTACTGCGCGTACTGGGCCCACCCGGACGATACGACTGTTTCTGCCCAGTGAGTCCACCTTGCAGGCTAATATTGTCGATGGAAACATTTAGTTTGGCCTAACGTAGTGAAGAATGATGAATGAGTCGTACCGGCCGGGTGTGCAGAAGTCGCTCGTCTGTCCAGTAACAGAAACGAAGAGTAATAGAGTTACACTGTTTAATGCCATTTTGTAACATAAGCCATATTTACGCTAGCTGTAACTTGACATATCACGCTGTATTATTTTGTCTATGTATTTTATATTTTATTATTGTTGTCGGCTTGTGCCTGCTGTAAGCTAGTGCGGCCGGCGTCAGCAAGGCACGTAGTTACCAGCGTGCCCCGCCAGCCCCGGCCGCACTCAGGCCGCGGCCGCAGCCTGCCGCCGTGCCCCGCCCGCAGGCTTTGTCTCGCCTTAGTGCAGGTCGGCCGGTCCTCCTGTGTGGCGGCAGAGCTTACTGAAGCAATAATATACACACTTGTAACTCTTGTTTAGCCGCTAGTTATGTTATGTTTAAGGATTTCTACTTGTCTTACATTTCCCCGTGCACAGTATCCATAAGTATGGAAATTGATGTGTTAAGCTCGCCGGCACACGTGAGGAGCGAGCTACGTTCTGTAGTGGCGAGTGACGCCTGCAGGTGCGGGCGCGGGTACCATCTAGTTATTTTTTACTAATTTTGAATGCTTATAAATAAAATAAATATATTTTACGCTTCCCAGAGGTGTTATATAGCCAAAGAGTGGATTAATATTTGTACAAATCGGCTGAAAGCCCTTATTTTGTTGTGTATTAGTTGGAATACATATTTATTGTCTTGCCATCATATACAGATGTAGGTAACTGTTTGGTGGGAACATGTGTTGTGTTGTAATGTCGTCTACACTCGGACTCTGAATCTCTCCTAGGTAAACGTATTTATTCGTTGGACAATATTATGTTTATTATTACAAAGAGCGTATGTATGTTTTGTTAGTTTGACTTAACATTGTGTAACGCCGCGCCAGTACAGATAGATATTGGTATATTAATATATAAGTTTGGTAGTGGCGGCCGTAGTAGCGGTTGCCCGTACGGCGCCGGTGTGACCTCCGCTCGCCCAGAGCTCGGACATGTTGTCATTTAAATCTGATGAAGTAAAAACTTGAATCGAATATTGAAACGTCCTGACGGGTGCTTTCACCCTTAATTATAAGAACTTGATGTTAATGACTTTTAAATTGTGATCTGATCGTTTGGAATGTATTTATATATTGTTTACTGAGTTGTAGACGACATTACGACGGGTACTCTATAGTTTGTGTTAATTATTTGTAGCTAACACGGAGGTTATGAAGTCTGCCGGACTGTGTCGCGGCTGTACTCGCTCGGGCGGCGCCCCGGGGACCGCGACCTATCATATATAACTGTTATTTATATACAACGTTGATAATAAATAAATTTGTATTATACGACAAATATTTTATAAAGTAATATGAATGTTCCATAGCTATTTAAATATTACCCGCAAGGTCCCCAGCGCGGCGCGGCAGCGAGTGCAGCCTCATATTACTGTATTTGTTGTCTGTTCACGGATCACTATTAGAACACATTAGCTGAGTAAATTAATACATATAATATAGTTTTATGATGAAATAAAGTATGTATATGTAATCCTACATGTCTATTAAATCAATGAAAATAGATTATAATGTGCCGTTTCATTTTAAGGAACAAACATGGCAGCTTGACTGCGCGTTTGTCGCGAGTTCGACTCTCGTACGGAGCAACTCTTTATGTGATCTACATAATATGTAACTATAATTTATGGACGGTTCGGGCCTGGGTGTGATACGCGCCCACGATACAGGAGAAATTCCTATTAGAGAGCAACTTTTTCTAACTAAAAACTTGGTGCCTGTTCTTAGTCTCAGTAGGTACTAATCAAGGACAAGTCAAGAGACCAGCTCAGATCCGACATGAAATTCAAGCAGTCAGGATCAAATTGTTTTATCCGAGGGAAGCAACACTTTACTGGCAAAAAGTGGAAAAACGCGCGACGTCACAAAAATCACACCTCTAAATTACCCTTCAGATTCAAATCAAATTCAATTCTTTATTTCAAGTAGACCACAAAAGGCACTTTTGAACAATCAAAAAAGATATCATAAGGTTTAACTTTATATGTGTCAGTCTGTCCGTCTGTCCTCTAGTGAAGCTACTTGCTCGTTCCAAAGTGTAGATTCCTATGGAGAAGAACGAGCAAGAAACTCCATGGTTACTCTTTTTCAATCACTTTATATTAACGCTACCTATTTATCAGTAGGTACCAAGTACATTATGACTACCTACATGCCATTGCGCATTGGAAAAGCAATTAACCTATTTCAGAATAAATCAAAGGACTTGGTTTTTTGTTTACCAGGGAATAAAATTGTACCTAATGCAAATGATTATAAGTTGCATCTTATAAACAAAGTTTTAGGTTTTTGTTTACGCCTCCCGCATTCTTCTGATTATGGAGATGCTTAGGTACTGGAGTTCTGCTAGCTGATCGTAGTAGTTGTTGCAGCTCAACAGCATTGGAGAACCGATTAAGTACCTGATTTCTGGAAGCGTTGGAAACTCGTGAAACGGCAAAATTACTCAAGTTAAGTTGCCGAGCAACATCACACATGACTTGAGCGGCTTCATCTTCAGTGGATTTTTTTCATGGGATATGTCGGCGAATGAGCTGACGGATTATCTGATGGTAAGCAAGCGGCGCTGCCCATGTACAACACAAAAGAGTTACGAGCGCGTTGGCCTTTTGGGAGTAAGGGTTTCGGATATTTAAGTATTGGGAAGGGATGGTATGAGGGGAGGGATTTGCCCACCGTAACCTCACTCACAAGGCGAAACAACACTGGTTGTTTCACGCCGGTTTTCTGTGAAGCCGTGGTATCAATCCGGGCGAGCTGATTCATTCGTATCAGAGCTTTGCTCTCCCAGACTTGTATCAGTGATAGGTATCCATCTTTTGGGGTATTTTTCTCGCTGTATCTGTTCACTTCAGAGGTTGAATAGCGAATGACCCACATTGAATTCGACTTAAATGGGTATTTTACAATTTTGTAGGGAGGTGAAGTTAGTGGCCGTTGTAAATCGTATTTTGTCATTTTTTGGGTTCCGTAGTAAACTAGGAAAAAATTGCAATTGTTTTAAAAAAGAAGCGATAGACACAATTTTAATACAAGAGGCAAAGACAGACTGGCTTTGACACGAGTCCGTTTGTCCAAAGTACATACCTAAATCCTTTATGGAGTCCTGTGTAAATTGTTACAATAAAATTTCAAGTAGGTACCTAGTGTACATTTCTTAATGAACGAAAATTTTTAACTGATATTTTAAACGCGAATTGTGTAGACATGCATACCTACCAAGTACAAACTTACGGATTCTATTGAGGATAAGAATGCGTGGCAGCGTGATGGTTCGGCTCCACTGGAAAATACTCAAAATCGCGTGCGTTCGTGCAGCGGAATGTTGTTGAATTTGAAGATTTTAATTATGCAGATATTTAGTGTAAGTACGACGTCGTATAATTGTGTATGGTAAAAAAAAATTGTGCACGCAACCATTGTGGTGAAATTCACCATAAACTGATTCCGCTGGGCGAACGTTGTCCTGGCGGAACTTTTTTTAATCCATAGACTTTAGAAGAAAAGAGATGCATCCAAAAATTAGTGTGTATTTGTGTGTAATTGTGTATGTATGAATAAAACTAGTGCATGCATAAACTTCGGAGAAATTCAAGTTTCCGCTACGCGAACGTTTGGCCATTAGCTAGTTTTCATATAAAGCGCTTACATAGAGAGCTGTAGATTTTTACATACGTTGTTTTGAATTTGTTTATATTTGTTTGTGTTCTAAATCTGTTTTTTAACACTAGGAAGACCGAAATTTTGAACTACCTATAAAGACCAAGAGGGGTCAAATGACTCATTCATGGATTGTAATGTTTTATTCATGTATTATGGTTTTAAGTGTTATAGATTAACATCTTATAGTAAATAAAAGAACTTAAGAGTAATGAACCATCTATAAGCTAATTAAAAAATAAAATTTTTTGGCACATTTTTGACATTTTAGCTTATTGCTTACATTACAAGAGCCACACAACACAAGGCTTTTTACAACTAATACAAGATTTATTGGTTTTGTTTCTACCTTTTTCTTTTTCCACTTAGTTCTTCTTCTGGCTCTTGGGGTATGCTAAAATAGGGCTGTGAAGTAGATGGTGTCATCTGGGAGTGGGTATCTTGGTCGACTAATTCCCTGGCCAAGTCAAGAATTAACTTTTTTCTACGGTTTTTTATCTCGATAGTTTCTTTTACAAAATCCAAGAATCACTTGCTGCCAAATCCAAAAATATTATTATAAAACACTTGTCCAACATACCAACGACGAGAAGGTGCTTTGACATTATATTTCTTGGTCATTTGATCAATAATGTCTACTCTAAATTTCATAGCATTGTAAAATTTCACGTGTTCGCCTTCTTTTTTGCTGCTTCTGGGTCAACAAATACATTAGAGTGAAGAAAGCCTAGAATCATTTTGAACTGATTTTGAAGGATTTCCTTGATGATATGTTTTTCATATAAACAAAGGGACCATGCATTTTTAATAGTAGCTGGAATATCTCTTCGTGTTTTTTTGACCGTACAAACTACTGATGTACGCTTTTCAATTAGGTTTTTAAATATTGTAAACACTTTCTTGACTTTCTGAGTCTAAATCCAAAATGTGCCTCACTTCTTCAGTCGATTCACAGTATGATTGATCGACCGGTAAATTTTGCAACACTTCCAGTATTTATGAAAGGTAAAGAGAACGATAATGAGGCATTATATTATTATGGCGAGCCGTTATACGTCTTTGTTTTGACAAGAACAAAACAAGAAAAAAATATTTTATTTCTACTACCATAACACAAGTATATTCCACGAAATGTAATAAGCAAGCACGCAGTGGTGTCAAATGACCACTGCGGTCTCCCTAGGTAGGTGATAAATTTTTAAATAATACTTATCTTGCTATCGGTATACACATATTAGAATATCTAATGTAAACAATGACGAAATATTAAAAGTCATAAAACAACAATGAGTTCAATGCTATGGTTTTGATAATATGAGTGATCAAAAACTTCATTGGGGTCATTTGACCACTCTGGTCTTTCTAGTGTTAACAGATTTGGAAAAAATCGTAGGGTTTAAAAGATAAAAATATAAACGTAAAATACGCTTTTTAGGTCTTAGTTCTTAAAGTATGCACTTTGGGGTCTAGATTTTCACGTTTATACAAACCTTGTAAGTGTCTGCAACATGTTGCCAAGTATCAATGATGTTCCGTTAGTAATTAAATAGTTACCCATAGGACAAATTTACCATGAATAGATCACTGTTTACAAAGCAGTCAAATATCACGACTTTCTAAATGAAAATGTATGCCAATAATTAGTGTATTAAATTCAGTAATTAAAGAAAAACAATTATAATACTGACGAAGCATCGAAAACCTACATAACCCGACCAAGTTCGGATGGCTACAAAAAAGCGACCTTGCCATATATCTAAGAAACGTTCTTAACTTTCCAATATAGCATTTATTAATATGGTACAGTATCGTACACATGCGTTAGGAAAAAATAAAACACAGTATTGTACACATTCTCGTGCATGCCTAGTCTATTGGTTAAATAGTGTAATACGCTACAATATGATAAATATTTACCTAAACAGTAGTAAGTACATACTTACATGTGGTAAATATTTAATTTCCCTAAGGGGTCTATAGTTAGACTCCTGATCCGTGAATCTGATCTTCAATAGAAATTAGCTGTATGAATTTTATTTGTCTTAAATATAATTAGATTATATCTCAAGCGCAAACTTAAATAAAGTACCTACGTAAATAGTAAGTACCTACTTTCTGTCATAGTCAAATACATTTAAAAAAGTAGGTGTCCAAAAATAAATGACCTATAAATTATTTCGAAACAACAAGTGTGTTGTCACCTGTACCAATTCAATACCGGCATTATACTGTAAATTTTGGGATGTTACCTAAATATATTGCACACCCTCTTTTTTGTAGCCATCCAAACTTGGTCGGGTTATGTAGGTTTTCGATGCTTTGTCAGTATTATAATTGTTTTTCTTTAATTAACCAATCCTTCCCCACCCCCAATCCCTCCTCAATCCCTAAATCTCCAAACCCCTAATCCCTAAAAGGTCGGCAACGCACTCGTAACTTCTTCGTTGCGGGTGTCCATGGGCGGCGCTGATTGCTTACCATCAGGTAATCCGTCTGCTCGCTTGCCGACCAATTACATAAAAAAAAATACTGAATTTAATGACATGAAATTTTGCATGTGAATAGTTGAATGAATACACTAATTATTGGCATACATTTTCATTTAGAAAGTCGTGATATTTGACTGCTTGTAAATTTGTCCTATAACTATTTAATTACTAACGGAACATCATTGATACTTGGCAACATGTTGCAGACATTTACAAGGTTTGTATAAACGTGAAAATCTAGACCCCAAAGTGCATATTTTAAGAACTAAGACCTAATAAGCGTATTTTACGTTTATATTTTTATCTTTTAAACCCTATTATTTTTTCTAAATCTGTTTTTTAAACAAATATAAACAAATTCAA